AGATTGCTTCTAATTTTTGCTCTTTCAGCTAATGCTGCATTAAGCCATCTTTGTGTATTGCAGAATCATTTCATTAAATTGGCGTTTATCTAGCTAATGGCAATGGCCCAAGATTCGATGGAGAGGCAGATTTTCCTTTTTCAAGAAGAATGCTCTGAAGATGTGTTGAGAATGTACTTCAAACGCTAGAAACTGTCTTTGTTGTATTTTTCATGAATGAAGATTCAGGGTAACTGATGTGGAATGAGGTAGAAATGAAAGGTTGTATATTTGCAAGCAATTCATATTTTATTTGTTCCTATGAGGAGAGATTAATCAATAAGTTCTCTTAAGGAGCAATCTGCCTGTGAAAACTGAGGAATTTTGTGTCCCTACACCAGATGCTTTGATGAAAATAATAAAGAAATACAATACTGATTCCTCTAAGGGTGCTTTAAGAAATCCCCTAAAACAAGATAAAGTAAATAGATTTTTTTTTTTTTTTTGAGACAGGGTCTTTCTGGGTGTCCCAGGCTGGCCTTGTGATCCTCCTGCTTCAGCCTCTAGAGTGCTGGGATTGTAGGTGTGTACCACCATGCCCAAGGGCAAGTAAGATTTCAAAGGTTAAAAAAAAAATGTCTCCTAAGCTAAGGTGTCATTAGCAGGGGAGGGCCCTGAACACTTCTAGAAAGACTGACTTTCTGATAGCCACTAGGGAATGACTAGGATGAAACCAACAAGCAGACATCATGACCTGGTCCCACTACTGTAGTGAGCCCAAGGTCTGCATTGGCTTTGGGGTGCTGGGGGTGACTCCTCCATCTGCTGTCTTGCTGGGCTTTGTTAATTTCTTTTTAGTTCTGGAGTTGGAACCCAGGGCCTTGCACATGTGAGACTGGAGCTCCATTAGTGACCCACAGTCCCTGCCCCCTGCTCTTGTTTTCACTGTTTTCATCTCTGGCTGTTTATGTGGACCCTGGCTCTAGGCTTCGCATTTTATTTTAATCCAGCAAATGTTTGCTGAGTCTTCACACTGTTTAAGATTGCAGGGAGCAAACACGGGAGAAAGACCCCATGCCCCTTGTTTCTAAGGAGCTCATGACCTTGGAGTGGGGAGCACAAAAACAGGTTTAAAGCTAATGCATATTCAGGGGAGATTTAAAGAGGACCCAGGAGAAGTCAGTCCCATTCTCTTAGGAAATGGAGAAATTCTATGTTTTGGGGGTGGGAAGTCAAGAAAGGTTTTGTGGCGATGGTGGGCTTTGTAAACACTCTGAAGGTAGGACATTCCTAGCAGAGGAGGGAGGCCCAGGTAGAAGTGGAAGGACTTCGGCTGTGTTGGGGTTCAACAGGGCATATGTGCCAGTGGTCACAGTTAGCACTTTATGGGGTGTAACTGGTGCTAGGCGAGGTTCTAAAGCTTAATATGAACTAGCTTGTTTAACCCACACAGGGACCCACATGAGCCACATCATTATCTTTGCTTTACAGAGGAGCTAAGACTTCTAGGGTTTAGTTAACTGCCCAGGGTCATACCACGAGAGCAGAGCAAATGCTGCTCCTCTGGTTCCTGACTGTGCTGCTATCAGTCCTGTCTCTGATGTAGGGGTGGCATTGGCCACAAGGGCCTGAAAGGTGGGCAGGTGCCATATGCTTAGGTGTTCAGAGATGCAAAGGTAGAAGAGGATCAGAGGTGGTGATGAGATGGATTGGCATGGTGGGGATGCAGGAGTTTGGCCAGAGCTGCGAGGGGGCCTCAAGAGAGTCTCAAGGGATTCATCAGCAAGACCTGGGGCTGCAGGGTTTCAGGCAAGGCCCAACCATGTGTCTGGACAGAAGGGAGAAGAGGGTCTCTGGGGAAAGGCAGCAGGGCCTTACCTTAATGTGGCGTTGTGTGCTCCGAGCTGCTGGGCTGCTCATTTGGTAGACCTAGTGGTTTTTCTGCAGGCTGATGACTTTCAAACGCTGTTTTTAGTGCTGAGCCCCAAGCATGACTTCCCCCATCTGAATGCTGTGGCAATTGCTGTTTTTCCTAGAAAATTGGGCCCATGTGGGCTCTGTGTGGTTCCATTTTTATAGGCTTATTACCTTGTCCCATGATGTAAGAAGCCTCTCTCTCCTCGAGCTTTGCTGTGAAAATTGGTTCTTAAAAGGCACAGAGTGCCTCTCATCACCTGGGCGATGCTGTCTGGTGGCACTTTCCCTGAACACACCGCATACCTTTCTCACCGCCTCTGCTACCACTCGTCTTGGGTCTCTGATCGTTGGCAATTTACTGAGAATTTGTAGGCAGCTCTTAAATCTCACTAGTGTTGACTTAGCTTCCCAGAGAGTCTGTATGTGTGAAAACCCAGTCAGCTCTTCCTCTCTTGGCTGTCACCCTACCATTGCCCTGAGAGGGCCTTGAAACCCACAGTGGGCCTCCAGCCTGGAGTTGATAACAAGAGCAGTTAACGTTTGTGGACCGTGGGCTGTTTCTAGGCTCTGTGGATGGGAGTTTTGATCATGACCTCAATTATTTATAACCCCTATGTGGTAGGTGCTGCTTTCCCCGTTTTACAGAGAAAGGAATTGAGTCATAAAAGCATAGAGAGGCCTGGGAGGGACTCAGCCAATAAAGTGTTTGAGGACCTGTTTGAAACCCCTAAAATCCACATTAAAAAGTCCAGACATGATGGTGCACACTTATAATCCTAATGCTGGGGAGTTGAAGATAGGCTGGTCTCCAATCACCAGCCTAGCCTACAGTGAGTTCAGACTGAGAAGAGACCATCTCAGAAAACAAGATGAAAAAATAGAACAACAGCAAAAATGAACAATGAAGAAAACAAGATGAACTGGGTGTGGCAGCACATACCTTCCATCCCAACGCTTGGGAGGCAGAGGCAGGTGGCGCTCCATGAGTGTTAGTCTCTGTAGGGAGTTCCAGGCCAGCCAGGGCCACATAGTGAGACCCTATCTCAAAAGCAGAAACAAACACTAACAAACCCCTTCAAAATAAAAGCAAAAAAACAAACCAAGGTGAATGAGTATCAAAACACAGCATCGGAGATTGTCCTCTGGCCTCACACACACACTTGTGCACCTGCACACACACACACAAACACACAGGTGCACACACAATGGTGGAAAGCTAGAAACCTCTCTTCAGGTCCCACAGCAAGGCTGGGTCTCATCAGGTCTTTCTGGCCCTGCAGCCTGTGTGCTTGTTCCATTCTTCAATAACAAATGATGGTGTATACAGCACATTGGGAACGGTTCCAGCCCTGTGGTATAAAGAAGAGGGGGTAACTCTCCCACCTTCTAACAGAGGCATAAATGGGTACTTACTGGTTCCATAATTGGGAAGGGAGATGTCAGAAGTCACCAAAGAAGCTGAACCTCTGGAGTGGGAGTTGACACTGCCAGTGTCCTGCTGGCTCTTTGGCCCTTGCTCCTGTGATGCCTTAGTTTACAACTTCAGAGAAGGGGAGCACCCCTTTCTGCGTCTAGGGATCAATTCTAGAGGAAGGTTCTAATTGGCTCGGCCGGGAGGGTGTGCCTATCCTCTGGGCCAATCACTGTTGGTTCAAGGAGGGAAGTGTTCTAATTAGGGGCAGGAATGTATTTCTAGCCCTGTCCAGGCAAGTTGAAGAACTGCACTGAGGGCAGATGAAAAGTATTGTTTATCCTGTAACAGGTTTTGAAGAATTTATAGTATAACAGTGCAGGAACTCTTTGTAGCTTTAAACTTGATCAAACTTTTTATTAAAATTAGTCCAGATACCTTGTGAGGTAGTGATTGTAAATATGTGAGTACATGTGACTGGGTGATGAGGAGGCTACTGCAGGGGCTCCACGAAGAGCTGTTGGGACCCCAGCCTATGGCACCAAGTGATTCTATTTGAATTTTGCCTTTTCTTGTGGAGTCAATGAGGAGGAGGAGAGAAGGTGTGGAGACAAGCAGGTAAACAAGGCTTGGTGACCCCCTGAAGGCTGAAAGAAGAGAGGCTAAAGGAAGTTTCTCACCACCTCGGGGTAAATATTCATGCTGTAGAAGGCAAGCCTGATCTCTGAAGTGAGCCTTTAAGTGGTGGCAGATTCTATGACCTCAGTGTTTCTTTGAGACGTGTGACGTGTTGGCTTTTTATTGGTGTCCTCACTGGGAAGGGATGCTCACTGTCTCTCACTCCCTTTAAAAGGTTTTCTTTCTTTGAGAAGATAAAGAACAGGTGATAACGTCAGGACTGCCAGTCAGTAAAGGGATGATAGATGAGAGGGGGTATTGGCCTGGAGCCCCTACTTGCCCTGCTGCCTGCCCCTGGACCTATAGGTTTAGAAATGCTTTCTTTGGCTTCATCATTGCTAGGAAGACTTGGAAGGAGTCAAAGAAATAAGTCACATAGCAGCAGACTTCTGTCTCCAGTGAGAATCAGCTATGACTGGAGGTGTGAACAGTCTGAGGGTAAGAGTGAGGACCCCCCTAGGAAGCTGTTCTAACAACCTATGATGCTGATGGCAGAGGTGTTGTGAGAAATGGCCATGTCAATATATTTGGATGTGAAAAGACGTTTGGGTGAGAATTGGCTATGGAGCGAAAGGTGAGCACTGAGGGGGCGCTTTCGGCCTGGCAACTGGGAAAATGCTGATTTACACTGAGATGGCAGCACACTCGGCGGGTACAGGTCTGGGGAGGTTGGAGTGAGCTTCTATTGGATGTGTTTTGTATGAGACATTCAATGTGGCCTACACAGAGCTCCTGTGTACTTGACCTCTAGCTTGACTGCAGTAGTTGACTACTGATCAAAGGAAAGGTCCAGTCTCTTGTACTTTACAATGGATACTAATTCCCTGCTCAAATTTCTTATGGCAACGTCTTCTGCTTCTGAACTGGGGATGAGCCTGGGACTGGAGAGCATTGTGTGGACTGAGAGAATAGTCAGACTCCCTTCTGTGGGTCTGTGTCCTGCCTCACCTCTGCTCCCTCTGACCTTGGTCTTCTTTTTCCCCAGTTACCCAGTGTTTGGAAGGGAGCAATGCCATTTTCCTTCATCTAGTCCTCCTGGGAATTCCATTAGGTGAGTCACTAGGTGCCAGCCTTGGCTGGCGGTGGGTTAGATGGTAACCACAGCGGGAGATGGAAGATCCATGCCCTTTGACAAAGCTCGGCTCTTGAGTGTGTTTAGTTTTTCTCTTTACAATCTCCTTTGGAATTCTTAAAATTTTCTCTTTCCATTGCTCTATGATAACCCTAACCATCCACACTGTCCTCTTCCAAGTTCAACTGAAGAAGCCTCGGGCTTCCTGAGGATAAACAGAGTTATCTCCTTATGCAGGCATGTTGTGGAAATAAGTCATTTGTAAAGTACATACTAGATATCCTCATAAAGTTTATTGTGTAGATAGATAAACAAACAAATAGATACATGGGTAGGATAGAAGATGGAAATTATAGATTTTCGTCATATGGGAGATTTCAAATTATCCTTAGAGTTTACAAAGTCTTATTCATTCGAGTTGATATCTGGAACTGAGAAAATCTTTAGCAGTTCAGGTCTAAGGGGGCATTCAGGACATGACCAGTGAGTCTAGCAGTGTGAAGGACAGGTCACAGGCATGCATTTAGCTAAGCTTTACATTGCAGATAAGTTGGAGTTCCTGCCCTAAGAGGAACATAATTTCTCTCTCTCTCTCTCTCTCTCTCTCTCTCTCTCTCTCTCTCTTGCTCTCTCGCTCTCTCGCTCTCTCGCTCTCGCTCTCACTCTCTGTCGTTTAAGATGAATTGAAGTAAATCTGAGAAAGACGTGAAGATAGTACCATGGGAGGTCAGCAGTATATTTCATTCATTGGTTCATTCGTTTTACTAAAACTTACTGTTTCCACTTTGCAGATGACGAGTGTTCTAGAGGTGGATGGTGATAGCGGTTACACAGTGTGCATTCATTGAATCCCGACAAGTTGTACATTTCCAAATGATTGAGATTATGAACTTCATTTTGCATGCATTTTGCCATAGTTTAAGACATATACTTAAAATATATATTTTATGTATTATTTTTGTTTTTACATGTATGAGTATATTGCCTGCATGTGTGCAAATGCATCTGTATCATGCAGTACCCATGGATGTCAGAAGAGGGTGTCAGATCCCCTGGAACTGGAGTTAGGAACAGTTGTTAGCTATCATGTGGGTGCTGGGAACCAAACCCTTGCTCTGCAAGAGAAGCCAGTGCTTTTAACTATTGAGTCATTTCTCTGACCCCCAAAAAGCATCCGCTTAGGGCCCTATCATGAACTGGTGTGGGCTATAATGTCTGAAATAGATGGCATCAGTAGATGATCAATGCCGTGTGAAGGGGATGGAAGAACACATCCACCTAGAGGGGACCCTGAGAGTAGACTTGGTTTTGAGGGACTTGCTGTCCATCTTCTCTGTCTGAATGGTAGGGTCCACTTGGGGAATCCAGGCAAGCTGAGGCTGCCAACTGGGGTGGCCTGACATCCTGACATCCCATCTCTGATTCTGAGAGCCTCTGAAGGTTTCTGACCTGAGGAGTGTCATTGCAAAGGGGTAGCTTTAGAGTAATGTCATTAACCTTTCTGACAAGCTGTTGCTTATTCAAAGCAATGGGACTGGGGCATGCATTCCTATGGTGAGATCTGTGTCCTAGAAGTGTAGAATTCAGGTGTGTGCTAATGAACTGAGCAGGTTGTTTTCTCATCCGTTATACACATTTACTGAGGACCATCTAAATGCCCATAGTGTTCTAGATACTAGGTTCAATGGGTCAGGTGAATTTAACAAGTCTCTTGAAAAGCCTGTGGCCTAGACACTCCCATCCCCAAATACATTCTTCCAGTGCCATGTGTCAGCACAGATGTGTCACCGGGGTTCCATGGTTGAGAGGAGGGATATCTGGGCTGCCTGGAATGTGGAGGAAGTTCCAGCCAGTGAGTTTCCTAGACAGAGGCAGAGGTGGTAACCGGAAGACAGCTAGTCAAAACTTGATGCCATCATGAGTTGAAAGAAAATGTGTTACATCCCTGTTAGTTCTCTAAACCTAAACTATTCTTTTATTGCTTCCAGGTGGTGGTGGCTACAGTGTATGCTTTTGGACCCAAACTTAACATCTCAAATGTGGAACCCTAGGCCTTCATTGGTAAGTCTGTTGGATGACTTCTTACTGAATGATGCTGTGAAGGATTGTGTTTGGATGAAGGGCAAGGTTGTTATCACTGGCAGGTACCTGATGGAGGTCAGGAAGCCTGGACTCTTGAGAAGTCTATAGCATAGGGTGAAAGGACACCCAGGAGCTGACTCTCACTCTAGGCTTCTGTGGTTGATGTAGAGGAAGGTCAGAGGAGGAGAATCCCAGACTCAGGGAATGGATGCAGCTGTCTTCACAGGCAGGTGGTGCTTTATCTCTGTCCTGAGGGAAAGGTCTGCAGACTCAGCCATGGACCAATAGGAACAATATCTTTGTTCAAAGCAGTTATGGGCAAGATCTTTGGTGGGATCTGTTGCCAAGATCAGCGAACTTGTTCTGTAAGGGGCATGACGTTATGGAGTGGTGTGGCCTCAGTCGGGTCACTCTACTCTGCTTTGATCATGAAAGCAGCCCTGGCCATATGTAAATGAAGGGTTGTGGCTGTAAAATACTATCTGTTGGAAAGGTGGTAGGCTGATCTGAGCTGTAGTTTGACAACCTGTTTTCTAGACCCCAAATGCCAAACTAAGACACTTAGATTTCATTTTCGAGGCAGTAGGAATCTGTTGACAGTTATTTTGAGACGGGAAGTAAAGTGACAGAAGTGACATTTTAGGAATATTCATCTGGTGGCTGGACAGGAAGGATGGGACCTTGTTAGAAGGCAGTAGTTTCGATCCAGGTGTGGTATCTCCTGGTCAATAGCAATAAAAGCAGACATTTGATCAATGGATGAGAGATTGCAAAGGGCGAGACCATCAGATTCTCAGTCTCATTTAACTTTAAAGACAGGAGTCAAAGAAGATGAAAGTTGAAAGTTGGTGTCGCACAACAGTTTTATCAACAGACGTGTGGGTGCGGGGGTGGAAAGAGATCATTGATGTTAGAATTGATTGATTGATTGATTGATTGATTGATTGATTGATTGATTATCATGCTGAAGATTGAGTCCAAGGCTTCGTGCATACTGGGCAAGGGCTCTTTCATTGAACTATACCCCCACTCCTGACACTGGTTTCGGATCTGCTGAATTTAAGGTGAAGTAGTTTGTTTGTAGAGAATGTCCAGTATGCAGCTAGCAATGCAGGACTAAGCTTGTACTGAGATGCTTACATATGGAGATATAGAATGCACACCATAGTTTTGAATAAGTAAAGGGCTGAACTTTGGGGAATATGCATAACTTTGAAGTGGGAAGGCAGAAGGGACCCAGAGGCCAAGGAGAGCTGTGTTTGCATGCCAGGAGTACCTTTTAGCTGTAAGGCATACAAAGCATGCTGTGACCAGTTCCCCTTGCCGTCCTTGGAGCCAAGCTGTGTTGGGCTTTTGTGTACACTGGGCTTGTGATTGTGTTCTTAGGCTCATTCTGAGGTGTGGTGTTCATAACTCTGCCACAACTTGCTCCATGGAATCCAGCCTGGGTTTGGACTCTTGCCACAAGACGAGATGTAATCTGTTGGGGAAGTAGTTGCATTTGCATAAAATGGAGGAGAAAATAGATCCAGCTAAAAATTGAAATCAAACTTACTGCAGAGTCTAGACGAATGTGGGGGATTTGAGATAATCCCTACGTCAGTATACTACTTATCAGTTTGTGTTCTGAGTACTTGAATTGTGTGCTCGATGATCAGAATTCTGAGTGCACCTAAGTCTGATTTGGTTTACATGAAGGTAGCAGTTTAAGATCTAATGATAAAAGCAATAGATGCAACTGATGAGCCACCGTTTGGCTGACCAAGGACCAAGTGCTGCGTGAAGCCCTCGGTGTGCATTATTTCATTTCAACTTCGAATGACCTGTGCTGGAAGTGTGTTTTACTCTCAGCAGTAAGGAAGTCAGGTCATTGAGAGGCTAAATAATCTACCCAAGGTAACCAGAGATTTGAACCTGGTTCTGTATGCTCCCCGATTCATGCTGTTCATTTTCTCTCACCTAAGTCTGAGATTTCTTCTCCCACTTACGTAGGAGCAGATAGGAGTCCCTCACATTAATAATGAGGAGCATAGGGTGGGTGTTTCCTCTTCTTAGGAGCCTATTTGGGGGGACAGAAAAGTTTGCAAAGTCTGGAGAAGATGAAGACCAAACCTTAGTCACTTATTTCCCAGGAAGACTGTCCTTCAGTTGGAGGGGGTAACTCTGGTTCTGAGAGGAACTACCAGTAGCAGGCACAAGAGTGGCATTCCAGGCTGGCTGTGGTCATAATGTGATTTTTCTTTGAACGCTTGGTGTTTGTCTGTGCTCACCTCCAACACCAAGCTACAAAGGGCAGGTTCCATTCTACCTTCCCCTTGTGTCCCCAGCATCTAGCACAGTCAGACTGTATTACCTGCTCACCCGTGATCTGCTGTTTCTCGTGAGCCAGTGATGTTGGATGCAGTGCTCAGCCTCTGTATGCCAGGCCCTGCTCTCCGCAACACTGTTTACAGAGGTGGCACAGGACAGGGTCTCTGATGTCACAGGGCAGACAGCCTGTGTAGGTAATGAGGCATGCCCATGGTATGATATAAAGTGGGTAGGGTGGAAAGTGTTAAGGCCGATGGGTAAGGTGAGGTGATCAGGGGAGGTCTTTCCCACAAGCAGAGCTGCGGGGAGCCTGCGAGAAAACATACTGAGATCCTCCCTCTGGGAGGGACTTGAGGGTTTGTCTGACAAGTCTTCCACACTTCCGTTTGGTCTCACTTGGGGCTGCATCGCCCGGGTCCCTCATCAAGGGCACCCTTCTGAGGTCTTTCCGACTGTGCCATGCATTCCTGCCCTGGCTCACCCCACTGGTCTGCTAGCTCCTGGTTTTCCTTCTACCTCTACAGATTGTTTGGCCCTTTTCCTTTTCCTAGTCCTTGGCTTCAGGTTCTGCTTGCTCTCTTCTGATGACCTCATCTGTACTTCCTGTGTCCTGAGGAACCGTAGAGCTGCCTCACTGCTTCCCCTGAGCTCTTGCAAGTGTCCCTGCTCTGGCTCCCAGTGTCTGTGCCACTCAGTTGTCTCTACATCTGGCCTCAAGGCTTATCTTTTCCCTTGGCTAGCCTATCCACTGGCTACTGTGTCCCAAAGGATCTGTCTTCTGATTTGTGAGCTCAGTTGTTTTGTGTTGTTTATTGTGTGTGTGATAAGTGCACGTGTGCATGTGTGTGCACACATGGGCACATGCACAGTGTACACGTGGAATTCAGAGGACAGTTTCCAAGAGTAGTCTCTCTTTCCACCACGGAACCTGGGGCTCAGGTTGTCAGGTCTGTGTCCAAAGCGCCTTTGCCTGCTGCATCATCTCATCAGCCCGTGACTCCTCGTTTTCTTCTTTCCCTTGGGAACTTTGCTTAGGATTCATTAGTTGGATCTTTTTTTTTTTTTACAAAAGCTTCTTTTTTTGTTTTGTTTTGTTGTTGTTGTTGTTGTTGTTGTTTTGTTTGACAGGGTCTCCCTAATTCCAGCCCACTGGAAACTCACTATGTAGACCAGCCTGGCATGAGATTCTCCTGCCTCTGCCTCTGGAGTGCTGGGGTTAACTGCATGCACTACCACACCAGGCATTTCAAAGGCCTCTTATTGGCCACCCCATCCATCTTTCTCCTCCTTCACCCCATGCTCCTGGCAGCACGTTTCTAATTAATGCATCTCTACGGCTTTCTCCAACTTAAAACTCTCTACTGGGTCCTCAGTGGCTATAGAATAAAAGCCAAGCTCCTTCCAGAACCTGCAGCCATCCCAGAACCTAGCATTTGGCCACCTGCCTCTTTTCCACAGTTCCAACCTCAGCCCAGCCACCTACCAACGGCCTCTACTTCCAGTGCCTTTGTCTGCGCTGGGCTCCCAGGAATGACCTGACCACTGCTCCCCACATGGACTTAGTTCCAATTTCCCCTTGTTCTGCCGGACACCCCCTCATTTCCTCCCCAGACCTGGAGCTGACCTTCCTCATGCCTCCCAGAGTACCCTACATGACTTTAGTGTAAGGTATTTACCAATAGAGTTGTTGACTTACTTAAATGTTATGCTGCTCAGTAAGTTAAGCTCCTTAAGGGTGGAGAAAGCACACACACACACACACACACACACACACACACACACACACACACAAAAACACACACAAAAACACAGTCTGTGTTCCTGGTGCCAGCACAGTGCACCTGGCTCAGAAAGTGTTTGTTGAAAGAGTGAGGATAGCAGAGTCTGTTTGTGCCGCCAAACAACAGCTTTGTGATGTGATCAAGTGTACCTGAAATGGGAGGTTCATTGGTGGCTGAGTTTAGTGGGACCACCCCTTCTCCAGGGCAGAGAAGGCTGTTCCAGGCTGGGGTTTGTGGATGCCTTTTGTTTCCCAGTGTCCTGAGACCTCAGGGCTGTGACTTTATATTCTTTGCCTCTGGCTCTCAATATTTTTTTCTAGTGTTGATGAAATGAGAATTGACATTTAAAACGAAAAATAATTCATCAAGGAATTCTCAGGAATGTGTAGTCCACCCAGCTTGGTCTCGGCTGAATCCCAAATATCCTAAATTAGCCCAATACTGATTCCTGCCAACCACTGTCTGATAGCCTTTCCCCAAGTCCAGCTGAGAATGTGTTTCCAGATGGAAGATGCAGATCCCTGGCTGCCCTCTGTGGAGGTGCACTCTAAGGACAGTCCCAGATGCATTTTGAACCTTGGAAAGTCCTCTGCGAGTCTACACCAAGGAGCGACATGAACGTGTCAAGGCTCTGACTGGGGAACCCAGGCCAGCCAGGGTCTGTATTCCCCACGGGAGCTAACTCAGTGCACCAAGTCTACAGAAAATAACCCCACGTTTCTAGGGTGTGGGGGGCGGTTAGCTCCCAACTTCACTTCTTCACTCCCTACTTCTACACAGAATGGGCACATTGTGCCAAGAATGCCACTTTTATCTTGTCCTCACAGTAAACTGGGAAGGCTTCCCAGAAGAGAGTTGCTCTAGGCCCAGAGGTGTCTTCCTGACCAG